CTTGCCTATTAGCGGTAATGCAGGGAGCATCTTCAACAGCAGGGACCGAGTCCTCGGCAATTATCACCCAGATAGTATCCCTCCACTTCAAGAGCCTAGGCCGAAGCTCTTGGGTTCAGAAAATTTTTAACTTGATGTGTTGATGAATGTTAACAGCAAGTGTTCCATTCTGGTTAATTTCAGGGGGATTAATAAACTACCATTTTTACTGTGGGCAAAAGAGAGATATGATTTCCTTTAGACAAATTTAAAGAACTCATTTTAGCACAAAATCTCCCTCCAATTTTTATTTTCTTTTGTTTGGTCTCTTTTGGATTTGGGTCAGTCTTTTGTGCTTCTATTTTTTTGCAAGGGAAAGTTCCTTGTCATTTTATTTTCTTTCCTCCATCCTTAACATAAATTCTTATCATATGCCAGTTAGAATAAATGAAGGAAAAACTCTAAAGCATGGCCAGAGGACTCTTGGAGGTATTAATAAAAGAGAAATGGTTAAACTTTGAGGATTTTCATTTCAAAAATAGTATTGGTCACATAAAAAGTCAAAAGTCCTATATTATATCACTAACTCTTATAATGCTGTATATATTCTTTATGTGATAAATCACTATGAGTAATAAGATTCTTAGTTTATTTAAAAATGACATGCTGATAACAAAATATGTTATATGCAAAAGCAGAAAAGCATAAAACCACTCATACTTAAAAGAAAAATATAAATATATTGTTTCTATCATATTTTCATATTGTTGAGATCATACTGTTTCAACAATTTTGCTTTATTGCACTTAAGGAGAAAACAGGCTAGGTGCAATGGCTCATGCCTATAACACCAACACTTTGGAAGGCTGAGATGGGAGGATTTCTTGAGTTCAGGAGATTGTGATCAGCCTGGGCAACATAGCAAGACCCCATCTCTACAAAAAGTAGAAAAATTAACTGGGCATAGTGGTGCATGCCTGTAGCCCCAGCTACTCAAGAGACTGAGGCAGGAGGATTGCTTGAGCCCAGGAGTTTGAGATTTCAGTGAGCTATAATTGAGCCACTGCACTCTAGCCCAGTCAACAGAGTGAGACCCTGTTTCAAAAAAAAGTATGTAACCAGAGAATACTCCATATAGCCAAAGCATCCTTAAACAAAAAGAAGAAATCTGAAGGCATCAATCTACCAAGCTATACTACAAGGCTATTGTAACCAAAATAGCATGATACTGGCACAAGAACAGAGACATAGACCAATGGAACAGGAGCGAAAACCCAGATATAAAGCCATCCTCATATTGTCATCTGATCTTTAACAAAGGAGACAAAAACATACACCAGGGAAAAGAATCCCTATTCAATAAATGGTGCTGGGAAAATTGGATAGGCACATGTAGAAGACTGAAACAGGATCCTTACCTCTCACAAAAATCAATGCAGGACAGATAACACACTTGAACCTAAGGAATGAAAACATAAGAATTTTAGAAGAAAATGTTGGACAAACTCTTGTAGACACCGGCTAGGTAAAGAATTTATGATAAAGACCTCCAAAGCATTCATAGCAAAAACAAAAATAAATAAACGAGACCCAATCAAATTAAAAATCTTCTGCACAGCCAAAGAAATTATCATTAGAGCAAACAGACAGTCTCCAGAACGGAAGAAAATAGGCACATGCTACATATCTGATAAAGGGCTGATAACAAGAATCTGTATGAAACTCAGGAAAATTGGCAAGAAAAAAAAAACACCATTAAAAAGTAAGCAAAGAACATGGACAGAAACTTTTCAAAAGAAGACAGGCTAATGGTCAACACACATATGAAAAATTTCTCAACATCTCTAATCATCAGGGAAGTACAAATCAAAACCACCATGAGATATCACTTATCCCCAGTGAGAATGGCTTTTATCAAAAAGTCCCCAAACAACAAATGTTGGCATGGATATGGACAGATAGGAACACTCATATATTGCTGGTAAAACTGCAAACTAGTACAACCTCTATGGAAAGTAATATGGACATACCTCAAAGAGATACAAGTAGAACTACCATTTGATCCAGCAATCCTACTACTGGGTATTTACCTGAAGGAAAAAAAAAACACACATTCTATAAAAAAGACATCTGCACTACAATGTTTATAGCAGCACAATTCACAGTTGCAAGGATGTAGAAACAACCCAAGTGCCCATGAATACATGAGTGGATTAATAAAATGTGGTATATGTATACCATGGAGTACTACTCATCCAGAAAAAAATAATGGTGAACCAGCACCTCTTGTATTATCCTGGATGGAGCCGGAGCCCATTATTCTAAGTGAAGTATCACAAGAATGGAAAAAACAAACAACACACATACTCACCATCAAATTGGAACTAATAGGTCAACACTTATGTATACATATGGAAGTAACATTCATAGGGTGTCAGGAAGATGGGAGGGGAGAAGGGGATAGGTATATTCACACCTAATGCAGCTCTGACTCTGGTGGTACAAAGACAATTTATGTAACCAAAGTGTTTGTACCCCTGTAATATTCTGAAAATTAAAAAGAAAAAAAAAAGTAGAAGAACAAAACAGCCTTACAAACTGGGCAGCAATAGGCTGAGTGGAAAGAAAGAGTAGACTCAGAATAATTTTGTGTTTATTGGAAATGTAAAATCTCCCCCTTTGTTAAAATCTCCCTGTTGGTTTTGAGAAGCTGAGAAAAGCAGAAAGGATTGGGGATTGTGAGCATGTTGGGGAGGACAGAGTTATCTGACAAGCTGTGCTCAGAATCCCTGCTCAGATGCCTGCTTCCCATGACTTCCTGCCTTGCTAATTTTCTGGGTTTCTATACACATTGTTTTTTGTTTTGTTTTGTTTTGTTTTGTTTTGTTTTCTGTTAGAGAATAATCTCAAATAGCTGATTTACTTTGACTATGTTTGACTCCTGGGTGCCAGGTGTTCTAAACATCCTGGATCTCACTTTCCTCAAATATATAAAAGGGAAATGCTATTTACTTCCCAGGAGATGGCATATGCGTTAAAGTAGGCTAAGCTGCGGCATCAAATAGATTCCAATGTGCAATGGCTTAAACACAATAGGTGTTTAGTTCTCATTCATGTTATAGGTAGGGCAGGTTTTCAAATAGGCAGGTGCTTTCCTCCATGGGCTGATGCAGGGATCCAGGATCTTTCCATGGTCTGATTCTGTCACAACCTAGAAACTTGTCAACTGCACCCATCAGTGGTAGACAAGGAAAGCAAGTAGGAAAGAGGCCTGGAAGTGGCACATCTTATTCCCGCTCACATTGTTATTGGAGATAGCTTGGCCACATGGCCATCACTGTAAAAGTACAGAAAGCTAAAATATGCCATTGAGCCGCATACCCACTGCAATTCTATTACTGTAGAAGGAAGAGAGAACAAATGTCAGTGGATATCAGCAGTATCTGCCACTGTGTTCATGTCTTGCAAAACGAACAACACATTCCACAGAGGGTGCTGAGCACATTCTCTTCTTTTGCTTTACTGCCTTTGAATCCTTACTTAGAAAGGATAAAGAAAAAAGTTATCAAACAAAAGCTACTAAGGACTAGCTCTACTAGAAGAAAGGCAACCGCATCTTGTAGGAGGTGCCATATGACCAGAGTAAGACTGGCGTTAATGTCCTCCAGCCCCTTTGTCCGCATGTCCTTCTGGACTGGTCTGCAGGGGCGCTGGGGTTCTGGAAAGCACCCAGTTGCCAAGGAGAGGCTGAACCTCCCAAGGTAGAGGAAAGTAGACTGAAACATCACCAAAATGAATGATCTTCAATGACATAGGTTTAAAGAAAAGAGAATTTATCGATTAGCTCCACTAAACTGAAAATTCAATTAACTCCCAACTTACTGTCCTGAGCAAGATGCTTTACAAAGGGGTTGCTTCTGTGCCACCTGCCCATGGCATGAGTCTGTCTGCAGGAGCTCCCACTCAGGTTTCAAAAGTTTTGTGAAACCCAGGATCAGTAGAAGTGAACATTGACTTTTTTATTCCTATGTGGAATGAAAATGGAAAACTTAGGCCAAAAGTTTTCCAACTAGGTGAGAGCTAATATTGATCTTTGACAAAGTTCAAGACTGGCAATGAAATTCTGGAGCCAAAAGGCTTTTTAAAGTGTGTTAGGATCCTGCTGCATGCATGTAAGTGTACTGACCACTTGTGGATCTGAGAATGTGTCAGATTCCCTCGTGTCTCTGAGATTTGCTTTACGCTGTTTCCTCTGCCCGGGTTGACCATCACTCAACCTTCCTCTTTTTACCTGGGACGCGCTTCACTTGCCCGGGGTTTCAACTCTACCATTGCTGTCTTTAGAAGGCCTCCCTGATCCCCTCCTGAGGCATTCTGCCCTCTGTGCTCCCATAGTTTACCTCTCTCTAGAGTTTCTTTCACCTCACATCACATGTTTTTGTCAACATCTCTCCCTGTCATCAGCACCCAGCATGCTCCTGGTGTGCGGTGAACATCCACCGAATAACCGAATGCTAGCCCCCAAGACACAGCAGCGTCCTTCATCTTTGAGTCCACAGCACAGTGTCTGGCCATGGCAAGTTCTTAGTACATCTCTGAAGAGAGAAAAGAGAGGAGGGAATGTAAGAAGAGCAAGAGAACGAAGGAAAGGAAGAAAGAACGCAAGGAAGGAGTTATCGGTCAGAAAGGATGTGAGGCTAATTTGTACATATCTACAACCAAAAGCTAAAGTTGTCAGAACAGAAACAAATAAAACAAATTTCATTAGGAAATTCGTAAGATGGAAGCCATAATGACCAGGGAGAGGAGAAGCATGGAAGATACAGCTTTGGAATGAGTCTTAAACAATTAGAAAGGTTTAGCTGGATGAAAAGTGTGAGGGGATTAAGAACAGAGGCAGGGAAGAGGAGGGCTCATTGTGGGGTAGAGGTGCCATAGTTGAACACCGCTTCGTGTCTCTTTGACGGTAGGAAGCTGCAACTATGTGAGACCTGACTACGCTCTCTCTGATCCTGTTCCAGGAACTGGCGGTTGGTCTCCAGCAGACTCCAATGCTCAGCAGTGGCTCCAGATGGACCTGGGAAACAGAGTGGAGATTACAGCAGTGGCCACGCAGGGAAGATACGGAAGCTCTGACTGGGTGACAAGTTATAGCCTGATGTTCAGTGACACAGGACGCAACTGGAAACAGTACAAGCAGGAAGACAGCATCTGGGTAGGACATCTTTTCTCTTCCAATGAATAAAACTGAGATGTTCTAATGATAATCATGAACACTGCTGTCATTTTCTTATACCCAGATTGTTGGTAGTTTAATAACTGTTGAGTGCCCATTAGAAATAATTAGACCATGTATAAGTCCTATCCCCAGCATGGCTCCAGTTCCTAGGAAACTTAGGATGTCTGTTGCAAAGAGTTTAGTGTGTTCTTTCTTTTATGGCAACTTGAATAATTCACTGACTGAGCCTCAGTTTCTCCATCTGTAAAAACAAACGTGGAGAAATACACAACCAAAGTTTGATTGTTAACGAGATTATATTGATTTACTAGGTACTTATTTACTTATTTATTTGTTCATTATGTTCCAAGCACTTTGCATATTTTGCAACAATTCAACTAGCTCACTTATGTCACTTGACCAAAGTTTCCCAATTTGTGAATCTTGGCATGAGAACCTGTAGTCTGGTCTGTCTGTAAAGCCACAGTGCTGAGACAGCCTCTATCCAAGATTTGAAGATAATTGAAAAAGTTGAAAGTACTAAGCAAATATAAAATTTAGAACTATTATGTCATTATAAACAATCTTTAGCTTGGGAGTGAAGGAAAATTTGCTCCAAATTGTAAAAAAGAACTTTCCTTCCCCATCCCAGCCCCATACTGTATAGATGAAAAGCTGTCAGTAAATTATTAAATGAGGGAAGGGAAAAGGACAGGAAGATAGGCAAAGTGGCCTTATGCACTGAATAAAATAATCTGGTGATTTAAATTACTTTTATTTATTTATTTAATTGTTTTTATTTATTTATTTTTAATTTCAGAATATTATGGGGGTACAAACATTTTGGTTACATATACTGCCTTTGCCTCACATGAGCCAGAGCTACAAGCATGCCCTTCCCCCATACAGTGTGCTCTGCACCCATTAGTTGTGAGTCTACCCACTCGCCATCATCCCCCTCCCCATCCCCTTCCACCCCCATCATCCCCCTCCCACTTGACCGGCACCCAATGAATATTACTATCATGTGAGCACCTTAGTGTTGGTCAGTTAGTACCAATTTGATGGTGAGTACATGTGGTGCTTGTTTTTCCATTCTTGTGATTCTTCGCTTCAAAGGATGGGCCTATCCAGGATAATATAAGAGGTGCTGAATCACCATTGTTTTTTGTAGTTGAGTAGTGTTTCATGGTATGCTTATACCACATTTTATTAATCCACTCATGTATTGGTGGACACTTGGGCTGTTTCCACATCTTTGAAATTGTTAATTGTGCTGCCAAAAACATTTGAGTGTAGATGTCTTTACTATAGAATGTCTTTTTTTCCTTGAGTAGATGCCTAGTAGTGGGATTGCTGGATCAAATGGTATTTCTATTTTTAGCTCTTTGAGATATCTCCAAATTACTTTCCACAGGGTTTGTACTAATTTGCAGTCCTATCAGCAGTAGATGAGTGTTCCTATCTCTCCACATCCACACCAGCATTTTTTGTTTTGGCACTTTTCAATAAAGGCCATTCTCACTAGAGTTAGGTGATATCTCACTGCGGGGTTGATTTGCATTTCCCTAATGGTTACAGTTGTTGAGCACTTTTTTTGTTTGCTGGCCAATAGTCTGTTTTCTTTTGAAAAGTTTCTGTTCATATCCCTTGGCAACTTTTTGATGGGGTTGTTTGAATTTTTTTCTTGTTAATTTTCTTAAGTTTTGTATAAATTCTTGATATCGGCCATTTATCAGATGTGTAGCATGCAAATATTTTCTCCCATTCTGTAGGCTGTCCATTTACTCTAATGATAGTGTCCTTAGCTGTGCAGAAGCTTTTGAATTTGATTGGGTCCCATTTATTTATTTTTTTGTCACTGCTGTGATTCCTTTGAGGTGTTTCTATATAGATTATTTGCCTAGGCCAATGTCTATAACAGTTTTCCAAACATTTTCTTCTAGAATTCTTAAGGTTTCATGTCTTAGGTTTAAGTCTGTTATCAATCATGATTTTATTTTTGTGAGAGGTGAATTGGAGATCCAGTTTCAATCTTCTGCATGTGGTTATCCAGTTTCCCCAGCACCATTTATTGAATAGAGATTCTTTTCCCACTGTATTTTTGTCCACGTTGTCAAAGATTAGATGACAATATGAGAATAGTTTTATATCTGGGTTCTCACTCCTGTTCCAAAGGTCTGTATCTCTGTTCTTGTGCAAATTTCATGCTGTTTTGGTTACTATATCCTTGTAGTAAAGCTTGAAGTCTGGTAAACTGATGCCTCCCTATTTGTTCTTTTTGTTTAAAATTGCTTTGGCCATACGAGATCTTTTCTGGTTCTATACGAAGCATAGAATTATTTTTTCTAGATATGTGAAACCATTCCTGTTTAGAACTGGAATGAGACAAGGTTGCCCACTTCTATTCAACACAGTGCTGGAAGTTCTTGCCAGAGCAATCAGACAAGACAGGGGAATTAAAGGTGTCCAGATAGGGGCAGAAGAGGTCAAACTTTCACTCTCTGCTGATGATATGCTATTATATCTAGAAAATCCCAAGGAATCAATCTGCAGACTGCTGGAATTGATACATGAATTAAGTAAAGTCTCAGGATACATAATCAATGCATACAAATCATTAGCATTCATATATGCAAATAACAGACAAGCTGAAAATCAAATCAAAGATGCAACACCTTCCACAGTAGAATCAAAGAAAATCAAGTATTTAGGAATGTATTTAATGAAGGAGGGGAGAGGCCTATATAGGGAGAACTACAAAACACTGAGAAAAGAGATTGCGGCAGCTATAAACAGATAGAAACCATGCTCATGGATTGGCAAAATCAACATTGTTAAAATGTCCATACTACCTGAAGTGATCCACAGAATTACTACAATCCCTATTAAAATATATTACTTTAATTTAGGAAAAACATCACCAATTTTTTTAATCCAAACATACATAAAATATGATGATTTGACAATTGATATCATATTCTTTTCTTCTCAGAATCTCACTCCTTAAATCAATGCCAATTACAATTTTACATTGCTCTTTGCACATGTATATTTCTGTGTTGGCCCCACTTAACTGAAAAAAAAAATACTTTTATTTTATGTACTCACTGTTAATTGTTAATTGCCTACCCATCAGTTGGTTTTCTAACTGCAAATAGTAGTAATTGAGGATCAAGAAGAGTTATGGCAGACTGAACCTTGAGAATATTATTATTGCCACCTTTATTTTAGGTCACTTTAATATTAGTAGAGGTTATAGGTTTTCTTCATTTCAGAAATAGTCTTTTGAAGACTATTTCACTTTTTTTTCTCAATTTTGAAGCCTCCATAAATTTGTAAAGGTTTTCATTTTGTTTGGTTTTTTGTTTGAAATGAGAAATAACTATACTTTCCATTTTGAGAAACAATTTTAAGATTTTATGTTAACTTTAAAGGGACAAATAAGATATGGGATTATTTGTTTTCTCTGGCATTTTCAATCAGAACTGGTTGTTTTTCAAATTGAGTTGCAGGTTTGAGTTATTTTGTCTAAATATTTTTTTTTTTAAACCAAGTTTCATTTTCTTCAGAACTAAATGACCTGATTTCAGCCTACCCTCTGGATCAGGATGTATTTCAAGGGATGACAATTTCTCTGGGTTTGTGGGTGGCAGGAAAAAAGCCTCTTTTACCTCCCTGCCCTTGTTGGTTTACCTGTTTCCAAATGATTCCAAGCTCCTTAAAGGCAAGGCTCTCTCTTATGTACACAAGCCGCTGTGCCTGATATTACTGGACACAGGGCAGAAACTAATTTTGAAGTGGTTATTAAAAGAACTGCAGAATTACTAAAGTGCCCAGAATTGGGGGTGGAGGAAGAAAATTATCCTCATCTCCAGCCTCACACCCCAAACAGCCTTGACCTTGCTGGGCCAGTAGAAGATGCTGGCAGTAGAGAAGGAAAAGCAGGGACCTCCCTGTGCTGCAAGGCAGTAAATTCTAGCCACAGCCTCCCCAGAGTGCTCGCAATGCCCGCAGGGCACTTAGGAGGGAGGCAGCTTTAGGATGTGCTTGTCAGCTGCAAATACTGGGAGAAGAAGTGATTTGAGGCAGCATCATTGCAACTCCCAGTTTAAAGGGTAAAATACAGTGAGGTTAGGTAGGCGCATCATGATAAGTCATGTGCAGTAACTAGGCTTAAAGCTAAAAAAAATAGATGTCCACCTATATTGATATTAAGGAAACTAACAGTTACTGAACACCTATTGCAAACCACATTTGTATTCAAATGTAATTCTATATATACAAAAAACATCATTCTGTAAACGCTGATTTATAGAATTCAGTATTAATATTTCCATAAACAAGAGACTTGAAGCTCAAAGAGACCCACACTCGCAAGCTCACACAACCAGAAATGGGTGGTTCAATAGTTCACAAGTAAGATTTACATGTACTTGATTGCAAAACTGTGCTTTCTAGTTCTCCTTTACTACACTTGACTTTTTTTTTAAATTTTCACAAAATTGATTTATTTTTCTCATCTTAAATGATAACTTTGTCAGACCCATTCTTTAAGAATAATATTAAAGCTTATTGTTTAATTCATTTGTTGCTAAATATAAAAACGTGGTGGCACCAATAATACCTACCTTTATTTCTAAATGTTGTAAATAGTGCTCAAACTCCCTGAAATTGTCTAGGCCTTCAGGGTATTTTACCAAGACTTTATATAAATATATAAAATCTGCCTTGTGGCTAATATTCATTGTTACTTTTATCAGATTATGTTGTTTGATGAAATAGATTACTTTGAGTGATTTTCTTTTTGAGTTTGATTTTTAATTTCAAATTAGAAATAAGACTATGGATTCAACAGAGTTAAGCCTTATAAGCAAGACAAGAGCAATGGCCAAACATGAGATTCTTATAAAACTGTCTAAATTTTTCTGTTTAACTTTTCAGAAAAAGTCAATACCTAAAGACATCAATATCAAATATTAGCCTAAGGATGGTGT